TTTTTTTTTTTTTTTTGAGAGGTTTTTGCTAAAGGGTGCATACGCTCACCAGAAAGATAGAGACAGAGACAGAAAGCGAGAAATCACCCCTTAGGAGGGATGGCCACGCCACAATCCCTTCACCATTCTCCTCTTGGAATCTTGGGCACGCACACACATGTGCCTGGTGTGAGTTTAAGCCACTGGGTCTGGGACTCGACCAACGGTTGACTAGATGGGAGTCCAGCAACATAGCCATTACTCCAACGGCTGGTCCCTAGACATGCCTTTCTAGAACTGTGTTCTAAGGTATCCTGCTTTGGTTTGGATACTAATAGCTATTAAGCAAAAAGGGATTCCATGGTTGAATATATTTGAGAAACATTTCTTTCCGTAGTAGAATTTCTTTTTCCCTAGAGTTCACAGAGCCATCCATGTGCCCATGCATGCTGTGGTCTCCAAGGGACAAGAGAGGTCCAGCATCTGTTGGCATCAGTGGTCTCCACAACACCCTCTGAGAACCAAGGTCCTGTTTGCTTCTGAGGCGCTGGTGGAGATTGATCGGGCCAGTCTCCAGCTTGCCTGGGTTGGCAGCTGAGCTCCTTCAAACTTGCTGAGTGCAGGAGAGCTTGAGATTTTGCCGTGAGGCTACAGGAACTGCTCTGCCCTTCTCTGCCCGCCCCAGCTCCTCCCTCATGCAGCCAATGTGGACTGAGGGCTTAGTGTGTTGCAGACACTGGGAGTAGTCCTCTGTTGGCTACCTGAGACAGTTCTCCCAACAGTGGGTGAGATAAGAGACATTGTTCTCTCCATTTTGCAGATGAAGAAACTGAGGCTTACCTAAGGTTACACGGGATTTATAGTAAAACTGGACAGAAATTCAGGTCACTGGGTCCCAAACCACATGACCATTAAGCCAGACTGACCAGTAGAAGGCCAGGCTGTGACCTCTGTACCGGTGCATCCTGGCTCCACCCTTCATTAGCCTTAAACTGGGCAGATCATTCAACCTGTCCAAACTCTGCATCTTCACCTGCAGAGCAAATCCACTTTCCTTGTGGCTTCTTATGGCAGTTTCAAGAGAGAGAGAGAGAGCGAGTCATGTGCATGCTTAGCCACAGTCACACACTGAGCGCTCAGGCTCCGAAGTCAGACCTCCTGGGTTTGAGTCCTGCATCTGCCATAAGCCAGCTATGAAACTTTTGGAAAGTTTCTCAATTCTTGGTGCAGATAACAATACCCACCTTATAAGGATCTTATGAGGATTTAACGTCAACCTTTAAAAGCAGTGCCTAGCATATGCATGCCCCTGCTGTCCTCAGTGCCCCTAAGCATCATAACCACTATCACCACCATCCTCTCACTCCTCGCTCCCTCTCTGCTAAACTAGAAATGTTATGTCGACATTAAATTTTCCATGTCATTGAGTGAGAAGAGAACATCAGTCCCCAGAATGCTGAGTTATGGAGACACACAGCAACTCCTAGAAATCATTTAGGCCAATCACCTCAACTTATAATCATGGGAACTGAGGCCCAGGGCAAGAGAATGGTTTGTCCAAGTTCACACAGCCTATTTGTGGTAACTTGGACTACAGCAGGATTTGATATTCTTTTTACTATTCTTTGCTGCCTTTCCTAGAACCATATGTCTGGAAACACTATTAATAGCTGGTAATTTGCATGCAAGGAGGTAAGAGAAGAGGGTAGGAGAACCTGGAGGTTATTCCCTCTCGCTGCCCCAAGCCTGGCTGTTGGTTTACTGTGTGTCACAGACACCAGGATAAAGCTCTTAAATCTGCCTGTACAAATCTGACACAGTCTTAATGAAGCATAAACGATTTAGACATCTATCAATTCCCATTTTTATTCCAATATGTTGTCTGTGGTTAGACCATTTACATTTAATGTGGGTATTAATATGGCTGTGTTTAATTTCCATCTTGCAGTTCATCCCATCTGCTTTTTTATGACTCCTTCCCACCTCCTTCCCTGCTATAGCTATTGTATTTGTTGTGACTGTTAGGAGTTGCTTTATAGTTGTATACGACTTTAACTTATCATAATCTTAATTTTAAGTAATATTACATCACTTTATGTATAATAAATTCTTTTATATATATATACACACATATACACACACACTATTTTGAGAGATGTTTTTGCTATAGGGAGTGTGTGCTTGACAGAGATAGAGAGATAGAGAAACAGAAAATGCAAAATCACCCCCCAGGGAGGATGGCCATGCCACAGTCTCTTCTCCTCCATTCTCCTCTCAGGATTTTGGGCACACATGCACATGTGCTTGGCATGAGTTTTAAGCTGCCAGGTCTGGGACTTGAACTGTGGTCAACTGCGTGGCAGTCCAGTGACATAACCATTGTGCCATCTGCTGCTCCCCTTTAGTATGTTTCTGTTTCTCCCTCCTAGGTTTTGTACTTTGTTGTTATTCATTTTGCTTATGTTATATATGCTACAATAAATTATTTTTGCTTTGACAGTCAATTATTTTTTAAAATCTAAATAAAACTATATTCTTTAACTATATAGTTACTATTTCCAGTGCTCTTCATCCCTTTGCGTAGATCTAGATTTCTACTCATATTATTTTTCTTATGATAAGTGGAAGGTCCTCCATTGTCATTTCTTGTAGGGTGAATTTGCTGGTGATGATTCTTTGGTTTTTTTTTTGGTATGTGTGTCTGAAAAAGACTTCATTTTTGAAAGATATATTTTTGCTGGTTGTAAAATTCTGGGTTGAATTGTTTTCCTTTTAATACATTAAAGATGTTGTTTTACTGTAATTATTTTAAACAAGAAATGTACTGTCATCCCACCTTTATTTCTCGCCATGTAATGTCTCCTTCTACCTACTTTTTAAAAAAAATTATCACTGATTCTTAAGGAATTTAAGATATGCCTTGGCTTAGTTTACTTGATATTTGTTATGTTTAAATTAATTGAGTTTTTATCAATTATAAAAAAATTGTTCCCATTGTTCCTTAGAACACATTTTTTCTACTCTTCCCCGGTTTAGAGGAACCCAATTATGCATATATCAGACTGCTCGAAGTTGTTTGATAGCTCCCTGATGCTCTAGTCTAGGCTGTTTTTTTCCCCATTTCATTTTGGTTTCTATTTTAGGCTTCCAGAATACTTCATCTATTCTGTAATATCTACTCTGATGGCAGTCCCATTCAGAGTAGATATTATTTTTATTCTTTACAAAATCAATGTAGTTTTCTGTTAATATTCATAAGAGAAAAAAAAGACAATTTCAGGTAGTGCATACATCAGTGGACATATACATTGAAGAATTGAGGACACATACCTGTCCTCAACTTAGGGAAGCCACTGAGCTTTGCCTGGGTTCCTCCTGTCTGAGTACATCTCAGAAGCTCCTTCACCAAATTAGTTTAACATGTCTAAGGACCACCATCAATTGTTTATTAATCAGGATTTTTCATGACAAGTAACAGAAATCCAGTTTATGTTCTTTTAAGAAAAAGAAAGATGTATTGGCTCATGAAATAAAGGGAAATGTTGAATAAATAAACCATAGAACAGCAGAGATGCAGCTGGTTCCAGGAGCAACTTAGGTCAGATATTCAAACACTGGCACAACTGCGTTATCTCGTCTTTATTATCTCTATATCTCCTCTTTTGTACCTCACTGTCCACTGGCTTCCCTCATGCGTTGAAAATCATTACCCCTAGTTGATGCTGACCCTCACAATCTCTGGCTTCCCAAGAAAGAATCAATTCTCTTTTCTTAGTTTGGGAAAAGAAAACAAAACCCCCCAAAAGACTAATGGTTCTTCCTGCAGTGGCTTCTAGGATTTGAACTGATCTATCATGGCTAGCAAGGTAAGGTCTCATAAAAAGATAGTAACTCTGGTAAGAAATCAGAGTCCAGTTTATTTTCTATCTAGTTTTTAATCTCAAGAATTTGAGGTATGTATGTGTGTGTGATTTTTTTTGTTTTTTTGACACCGTCATTATTTTTATTTTATTTTATTTTATTTTTTGGAGAGGTTTTCGCTATAGGGCGCACGCGCTCGCCAGACAGAGAGAGAGAGAGAGACAGAAAGCGAGAAATCACCCCCCAGAGGGGATGGTCACGCTGCAATCCCTTCTCCATTCTCCTCTCGGGACCTTGGGCACACACGCACACGCGCCCGGCGTGAGTTTTAAGCCACCAGGTCTGGGACGGGAACCGCGGTCGATTACGTGGGAGTCCAGCGACATAGCCATTACGCTAACTGCTGGTTCCTGATACTGTCATTATGCTGTGATTCTTCTGCCTCAGCTTCCTAAGTAGCTAGAACCACAGGCATATACCACTGTATCTAGCTTTTAGGCAGGACCAGGAATTGAACCTGAACTTCCCATCTGTCCTCAGCCTGCCAAGTAGCAGTGTCAGCCAGTGTGAGCTACCACGACTGGGCTGATTTGTGTATTTTTTTGTAGCTCCACTTAACAGGTTCAATCTTCCCTTGAGTTTTTTTTATATGCATAGAATAAAATTATAATAGTTATACAATAGTTATGTAATTACTGTTCTTGTTAGCTAATTCTATCACCTGTGTAATTTCTGGTCAGATTTTTTTCAAATTCCTCACCCCTCCCTCTTTATGATGGATCAGAGTTTTGTGCTTCTTTACATATCTGGTCATTTTTGAGAAGATGCTAGACATCGTTAATTTTGCCACATTGGGTGGTGGATTATATTTGTGGTCCTAAAATCTTGAGGTTTGTTCTGGGATATAATTAAGTTACTTGGAAATAGTTTAATGCTTTTAGGTCCTACTTTTAAGGTTTGTTAGGGCCATAGCAGTATTTAATCTGGCACTAGCTTTTCCCACTACTGAAGCAGAGCCCTCTGAGTACTTCTTGGTATTCTATGACTCTGTCTTATATATTGATTGTAGAAACAGGAATAATTTCCAGTCCTTTGTGAACTTGAGTCACTGTTACCTCTAATCCTTTTGCAACCAAAGGATTTTTTTCTGGCCTTTGGTAGTTCCTTATGAGTATACACTGATTATTATTCAGCTGAAGACCGGAGGGTCTCTCTGTAGATCCCTGGGGCTGTCCCAGGAGGTATTCCTGGAAGTTCAGCTCTCTCATTGGCATTTTGTCCTATGATCTCTAACTGCTTTGGTTTCCCTGGACTCCAATACCTGTCCTCAACTTAGGGAAACCACTGAGCTTTGCCTGGGTTCCCCCTGCCTGAGTACATCTCAGAAGCTCCTTCACCAAATTAGTTTAACACTGCCTGATGTC